GCTATTAATTATTGCCTCAATTTCAGAGCCTGCTATTGGTCTATTCAGGAATTCAACTTCTTCCTGGTTTAGTCTTGGAAGAGTGTAAGTGTCCAGGAAATTATCCATTTCTTCTAGATTTTCCAGTTTATTTGTGTAGAGGTGTTTATAGTATTCTCTGATGGTAGTTTGTATTTCTGTGGGGTCGGTGGTGATATCCCCTTTATCATTTTTAATTGCGTCGATTTGATTCTTCTCTCTTTTCTTCTTTATTAGTCTTGCTAGTGGTCTGTCAATTTTGTTGATCTTTTCAAAAAACCAACTCCTGGATTCATTGATTTTTTGGAGAGTTTTTTGTGTCTCTATCTCCTTCAGTTCTGCTCTGATCTTAGTTATTTCTTGCCTTCTGCTAGCTTTTGAATGTGTTTGCTCTTGCTTCTCTAGTTCTTTTAATTGCGATGTTAGAGTGTCAATTTTAGATCTTTCCTGCTTTCTCTTGTGGGCATTTAGTGCTATAAATTGCCCTCTACACACTGCTTTAAATGTGTCCCAGAGATTCTGGTATGTTGTATCTTTGTTCTCATTGGTTTCAAAGAACATCTTTATTTCTGCCTTCATTTCGTTATGTACCCAGTAGTCATTCAGGAGCAGGTTGTTCAGTTTCCATGTAGTTGAGCGGTTTTGATTGAGTTTGGTTATTTCTTTCAATAAGTAAGCATTTTAAAATTTGGATTGCCCACAATCACATGACTAAAATTAATTAAATTAATTAGAGTCACCAATTATAAAGCAAGGACAATTGAATATAATCTTAATTTTAAAATAGCTGTCATATGTTGTTTTTTCCTTTTTTTTTTGAGACAGAGTCTCTTGCTCTGTGGCCCAGGCTGGAGTGCAGTGGCGTGATCTTGGCTCACTGCAACCTCTGCCTTCTGGGTTCAGGCGTTTCTCATGCCTCAGCCTCCTGAGTAGCTGGAATTACAGGTGTATGCCACCACACCTGGCTAATTTTTGTATTTTTAATAAAGATGGGGTTTCGCCATGTTGGTCAGGCTGATCTCAAACTCCTGGCCTCAAGTGATCTGTCTGCCTTGGCTTTTTAAAGTGTGGAATTACAGGTGTGAGCCACCATGCCCAGACCTTCTTTCTTTTCTTAATGTGACATACATGAATTTCCTGTATCACTTTTACCAGTTATTAATAAGAGTTCAGATTTGGTCACAATACTGGTACCAGGTAACTTAGAAGACTTAATTTTCCAAAATTAATTATTTGATATTCTAATTTTTAGGGATTTGGTAACAGATAAGTTTAATGGTGTAAATTTAAAATTTTTATTTTTATAGCCACAATGTGTTATGATAGTGTTAATTTGGTATGATTGTTGTAATTAACACCTATCTGACTTGAGGTGTTAATGGCTAAAAGACTTTCCTTTTCTCATTTGTATGTTTCCTAGTATTTCTCTGAAATCTATTAATTTAGTATTTGTGGTCTTTCTTGCACTATTGACCTGTTGTATTCTAATAAACTTTTATCTACTTTTATAAATAGTACAACTAATACCAAAAGGTGATGAAATTGATAGGTAACAGCTTTGGGTTTTCATTATTATTGTTGTGGTTTTGAGATAGAGTTTCACTCTGTTGCCCAGGCTGGAGTACAGTGGTGCAGTCATTGCTCACTGCAGCCTCAAACTTATGAGGTCAAGTGATCCTCCTGCCTTGGCCTCCTAAAGTGTCCCAGGTTTTAAGTTTTCTCTTCCTTATTATTTTTTCAGCTAATTCAACTTTTAAGTTCAGTATCAGTGTTCTGAAACATTTTTGGTAAGTATTCTTTGTGAGGGTGACATTTACCTCCTTTCACCACTCCCAGGGATGATGGAAAGGTGTCTCTTCCACTACTGTACAGATCCTGCAACAAAAGCAGTTTTTGTCCTTTGGAGCTAAAAAGTTAGCAGGTATATTGATATGAAGCCAGTCTTTCAAGAGTAATTGAGTAATCCATCTCGAATGAGGAAATATAAGAAAAAGCTTCCTCCAAATGGAATGGGGAGGGGAGAGGGAAGTTGAGAAGTTTTAGGACTGAGCAAATATGAATGCCTTTTATATATGTCCATAGAAGTAAATTGTGGCTTAGCTAACCTGATTTTATCTGTTTTTCTAATTGATACTAATCATTGTTATTATATTAGTTTCACAGAATTCATTGTGTTCATTCTAGCTCCCATGTCGTGTGGGCACATCTGACAAAACTGAATGTCTTCATGTTGTTTTCAGCTAATGGTCAAAAGCCATTCGGTAAAACTCACTATTTGGCCTGTTATAATTCATCTGATAAATTGGTTGGATATTTTGTTTGCTAATTGAGCATAAAATGCTGAAGATATTTGCCCATTTTTATTTGTTTAAAAGAAATTTTTTTTTCTTGTTGAATTTTCTCTTACTGTTCTTTTATATGTGAGCACTGTTTTTTTGCACAGTTTCGAACTTCAAGGAGCAGAGTGGTAGAAAATGTACAAACCCCCAAAATAAGGTCTAGACATTGGATTTTAATTTTTAAATCTCTCCTCTCAGTATCTGATGTTGTTCACTTTTTATATAATATACGGTCTCTCTATGTCACAATTAACTCTTGAGATTTATGTTAAACAAGACAGACTTTTGTTTAAATCTCGGGTACTTGAAGAGTTTTCTCAATTTGATATTAGGGCTATGGAGAGAATTTGTTGAAGTGTTAAGAGAAATACATACTAATTTATATTTTAACGAGAGGTTATCCGTGCTCAAAGATTTACTGTGTACTTAGTGACATGTAATAATCAAGGTCATATAGAACCCTGAAGTTGAAGATGCTTGTGTTTTTGTAGTGTGCACACGTGTATTTGAGACCTTCTTTAATAACTTTCCCAGAAGCTCAGGGCATGCTGACGAAACTCTTTGCTTCTCCAGTTTATTTTGTGTTTATTTTATTCTTCAAATAAATGGTAGTTTCCTGGGAAAAGGGTCTATATTGTAGCACTCTGCCGTTTTATAAGGCTTTTGGGATTTGCTCTTGCCCCTTCTAATACAAGGCGATGTGAATAATTGGAAGAGGTTTAGAGCAATTTTCTAAAGTGTGTTTTGGTAGAATACTAATTCTGTAGATTGTTAATAGATATCATATGGGATCAAAGGGGTTGTATTGTTAAATAAGTTTGGGAAGTACAGGATTAAATAATATTGAATATGTTTCTTTTGTGGAGGGCTTTTGAGAATTTTTCTTATTGAAGTGTGCTTTGTGAATTCCTAAAAGAGGAATGGATCTACAAAGATTTGAAAAGTCCAGAAACATAGGATAGAACTTATATTTAAGTATATATACAATTGTTCTTGTGTTTACAGAGTTTAGGGCGTTTTATACTTTTGTTTGCTTTTTTCAGATTAATGATTGGACCCATTGCTTTAATTTTAAAGGTACTTCTTCTGAAAGGTATCTGGAGGTTGAATAAAAACATAGAGCATATAATTGTAAATGTAACTAACATACTGTTTAAAAACACACTCATCCTATCTTTCTTTCTCAGACTCACTGTATACTGTGTAAGATTTCTCAATTTTTTTCACTGGAGAGTATTTTTCATATGGATCATTTTCAGGAACTAAAGTTCCGTGTAACCTACTTTGGAAAACATAGGTCTGGCTTTAAAATATTCTTCAATTTGACTGTATCATGAAGTGTTCAGTTTTCATAGTAGAGAAGAGATATTGCAGCAATTTGCAATGTCATATTCACTGTTAGATTTTAGTTTGATATTTTTATACCAGTTCTGCCAATTACTAGCTTTGTGACTCAGCTTCAGTTTTTGCATCTGCAATGGAGATAATAATAGAACTTAATTAATTTTAAGATGTAGTACCATAAATTAAATTTTTGTTCATTAAAAAGTTTTTAAATTTTTAAAAATACCATTATAAATGTAAGGCCAGTCACGGTATCATACCTTTTGGGAGACCAAAGCAGGAGGATTGCTTGAGGCCAGGTGTTCGAGACCAGCCTGGGCAACATAGTGAGAGTCTGTCTCTACAAAAAAATTTTAAAATTAGCCAGGCATAGTGGCATGTACCTGTAGTCCCACCTAGTCAGGAGGCTGAAGTGGGCAGATCACTGGAGCCCAAGAGTTCAGTTACAGTGAGCCTTGATTGTGCCACTGCATACCAGCCTGGGCCACAGAGCAAGACCCTGTCTCTAGAAAAATAAATAAATTTAACAGTGGGAGGGAAATTGGCTAAGGTTATTGCTGAACAAAATGATATCTTAGAGATTCCTAGAATGAATCATTTAGTTTTAAGGACTGATCACATTGTTTATTGATTTTGTTAAGCAAAGCATTTTGTAGTAAAAATACTTAATTGTACAAAATGTCACAATTTGAGTTTTCTATTTGTCAATGATAATTTTTAAAATGACATATTTATTTAAGATGAATGTTTTAAATTATAATACTTGTTCACAGTTGAAAATTAAAAACCATGAAGGACGGTGTAAAAAGCAAAAGCCCCACCACATTCTCTAATCTCAATCCACTAGATGTGTAAAAACCATCCACTATCTCATCTGCCATACTTATTCTGCAGCTGTAAATACTATTAACAATTTGTGGCTGGGCGCGGTGGCTCGTGCCTGTAATCCCAGCACTTTGGGAGGCTGAGGTAGGCAGATCAAGAGGTCAGGAGATCAAGACCATCCTTGCTAACACGGTGAAACCCGTCTCTATTAAAAAATACAAAAAATTAACTGAGCGTGGTGGCGGGCGCCTGTAGTCCCAACTACTCAGGAGGCTGAGGCAGGAGAATGGCGTGAACCTGGGAGGCGGAACTTGCAGTGAGCCGAGATCGGGCCACTGCACTCCAGCCTGGGCGACAGAGCAGGACTCCGTCTCAAAAAAAACAAACAAACAACAGCAACAACAAAAAAGCAATTTGTAAGAAGTATCTTATGTCAAAGTCTAACTTGTTCTTTTTTTGTTTTTATTTTTTATGGTGGAGCTGTGAGTTCTTTGGAATTGTGAACATTCTTTTGAAATATGGAGCCCGGATAAATGAACTTCATTTGGCATACTGCCTGAAGTACGAGAAGTTTTCGATATTTCGCTACTTTTTGAGGAAAGGTTGCTCATTGGGACCATGGAACCATATATATGAATTTGTAAATCATGCAATTAAAGCACAAGCAAAATATAAGGAATGGTTACCACATCTTCTGGTTGCTGGATTTGACCCACAGATTCTACTGTGTAGTTCTTGGTAAGAAATTCTACCATAGTGGGGCTTACCCTTTTTGAGTGAATATACTACCTTTAATTTCCTTCAGTTTCTTGAGATCGCAGTGTTTGGAGAAGAGTGTGTCTGTTTTGACTGCGATGGCTGAATTGGGGTGAAGGAGTTGGTAGCTGCTAATAGTGAGATTGAGTTTAAGCCCAGAGTCCTGGGAAAAGATAAGAGGTGACTGGAAGGAGGTATGAGGGGATAGATGCCAGTGAACTCTTCTAAGAAAGATATTTCTTCGACTTCTGGCCATTCCTCATGCTCCTCTTAAAATGCCTGTGACAGAAGAAAGAATGCTTGGAGCTGCTTTGAAGATTTCTGTTGTCTATCCCTCAGCCAACCAGACTGAATACTCCTGCCCTACAGCATCCTGTCTATTTGAAATATGTCACCCTTAATAAATACTGATTTCTGAAGTATCTGAGAATATGACTTGTTTACTTCAGGTAGTTTCTCAGAAGGGCAGTCCTCAGTGACAGATTATACAAATGCCGAGTCAGTATTTTTTGGGGGGCAAGAAGAAGACTATTAGCCTCCAGCCTTTGCAAAAATTGTTGGAGTCCTAAGACAGGTAATTGTAGTAGCGAGAGGACTCTCTTGGGCTGATCATTCAAGTCGAATGAGAAAATAAAATGGAAAATAGAGGACATGTTATTTTATAGTATTTCAGTAAAATATCTAGAAGTCTTCACTTTTGTGTTTCAATTCTCACCCCATGTGGTGTCTGTCCCTAAGGCACTCATTTTCTTCTTAGCCACACTCCTTGTGTTCTTCTACCCACGCTCTTAACTCTGACTCAATATGACTTGCCCAGTACTTTCAGCCTTCATGCTCCTTTCTGGTTTCTAATTTATTTCTTTCTTTTAACCAAAACATAGAAGCTGTCTGATACCTACTGTTGTGGTTTGAATGTGTTCTCAAATTTCAGGTGTTGGAAACAATCCTCAAATTCATTTGTTGATGATATTTGGAGGTGAGATCTTTGGGAGGTAATTAGGATTAGATAAGATCATCAAGATGGTGCCCCAGTGATGGGACTGGTGGGTGGCTTTATAAGAAGAAGAGAGACCTGAGCTGGCATGCTTTTGCTCTCTCACCGAGTGATGACCTCTGCCATGTTATGACACAGCAAGAAGGCCCTCATCAGGTGTGCCCCTTGACCTTGGACTTCCCAGTCTCTAGAACTGTAAGAAATAAATGTATTTTCTTTATAAATTACCCAGTCTCAGGTATTGAGTAATAGCAACAGAGAATGGACTAAGACAGAAATGTGGTACTGAGAAGTGGGGCTGTTGCTAATAACGATTACCTAAGAATGTGGAAGTGGCTTTCGAACTAGGTAATGGGTAGAGGCTGATAAAGTTTGGAAGAACAGTCTAGAAAAAGCTGTATTTCCATAAATGGAGTGTTAAGGGTGACTCTGGTGAGTGCTCAAAGATGAGAAGACTAGGAGAGTCTGACCTTTCTTAGAGATTATTTAAGTAGTTGTGCCAAAATGTTCATAGAAATATGGATAGCAAAGGCCATTTTGACAAGGTCTCAGATGAAAATGAGCAATACCCTGTTGGAAACTGGAGTAAACGCCATCCTTGTTATGAATTAGTGAAGAACTGGGATGAACTCTATCTATGCCTAAGGTCTTTATGGAAGGCTGAATTTAAGAGTGACGAACTAGGATATCTGGTAGGAGAAATAACTAAGTAGCAAAGCATTCAGGCTGCTGCATGGCTACTTTTGGCCACTAATAGTGAGATGTGAAGGCAAAGGAATGACTTGGGACAGAGCCTATAATTAAAAGGGAAGAAGAGTAGAAAATTTAGAAAATTCTCAGCCTGGCTGTGTGGAAAAGAATGAAAGAGAATGTTCGGGAGAGGAACCCAAGGTTGTGACTAGCAACCCTTTGCTGAGCAGATTTGTACAAATAGAAAGTACCATCAAGACAATTAGAAAAAAACCTTGAAGGCATTCCAGAGATCTTTGAGGCTGCGCCTCCCATCATAGGCCCAGGGCTCTAGGAGGTCAGAATGGTTTTCAGGAGGGTTTGTGGGGTGGTACTAATTCTGCAGGCATGTAGAATGCAAGAGCTGTGGGGGCATGGATTCTTCCACCTAGATTCCAGAGGTTGTTGAAAACAGTCTAGGGGCTCAGGCAGAGACCTGTCCCAGGGGAGGAGCCACTGCAGAGAGCCTTTCTAGAGCAATGCCCAGTGGAAATGTAGGGTTAGAGCTGCCACAGTTTCTACCACGGCAATGCCTAGAGGACCCATGGGAGCAGGGCTGCCATTGAGACCTCAGGACTGTAGAGCTACCAGCATGCAGTGCCATCTTGGGAGAGCTAAAGTGGGCAAAGCCATAGGGGTGGGACTGAGCCCAGCAAAGTCATAGGGGTGGAGCTTCCTGAGGTAGTGGAGGCTCAACTCCCATCCCAGTTTATTCAGGAAGCTTGACATGGAGTCGTGGAAGATTATCTTGGAGTTTCAAGGTAATCCTCTTGAATTTTGGACTTATTTGGGTCCTATTATTCTTTGCTTCTTGGATATGTCTCCCTTTTGGAATGGGAATGTTTGTCTTACGCCTGTCCCACCATCGAATTTTGGAAGTATATAACTTGTTTGATTTCACAGGCTCACAGCTGGCAGAAATTTAAGGTGAATTATGCCTTGAGTCTCACCCCCATGAGATACCAAAATCCATGTGTTACTGGAAAGGGGTCCCGATCTAGACCCCAAGAGAGGGTTCTCGGATCTCGTACGAGAAAGAATTTGGGGCAAGTCCATAGAGTAAAATGAAAGCACGTTTATTAACAAAGTAAGGGAACAAAAGAATGGCTATTCCATAGGCAGAGCTGCAGCATGGGCTGCTGAGCTGCTTATACTTACTGTTACTTCTTGGTTACATGCTAAAGAAGGGGTGAATGATTCATGAATGAGTTTTCCAAGAAAGGGGTGGGCAAGTCCCAGGACTGTGGGTTCTCCCCATTTTTAGACTATCTAGGGTAACTTCCTGAAGTTTCCGTGGCATTGGTAAACTGTCATGGGGCCGGTGGGAGTGTCTCCTAGCATGCTAATGCATTATAATTAGCATATAATGAACAATGAGGATGACCAGAGATCACTTTCATCACCATCTTTGTTTTGATGGGGTTTGGCCAGCTTCTTGACAAGTGCTGTTTCATCAGCAAGGTCTTTGTGACCTGTATCTTGTGCGGGCCTCCTGTCTCATCCTGTGACTAAGAATGCCTTAATTTCCTGGGCATGTAGCCCAGTAGGTCTCAGCCTTATTTTACCTAGCCGCTATTCAAGATGGAGTTGCTCTGGTTCATACACCTCTGACACATGGATGCTCAAGTCCCTTATGTAAAATGGCATAGTATTTGTGTCTAGTCTGTGCACTTCCTCCCATCTACTTTGTCATCTCTAGATTACTTATAATACCTAATGCCATATAAATGCTATGTAAATAGTTGTTGTACTGTATTTTTAAATTTTTGTTGTTTTTTATTGTTGTATTGTTATTTTTTATTATTGTTGTTAGTATTCTCAATCTACCATTGGTTGACTCTTCGGATGTGGAGGATGAGTTCTGTTACTCAATTTTAGTAATCCTTAATCCCTTGCCTAACCTGAGGGATCTGTACCAATTTTTCATGCTTCTTTCTGCTCCTAAATTAGGAAAAACCTAAGCAGGGGAAAAAAATCAAACATTGCCTGTTATCCTTTCCTCCCCAGCCAACTAAATGAACTACTTGTAGGGAAGGATTTATTTAGCTTTATTCTCTTAGAAGGCTTTGTAAATTTATCCTCTCTTTCCCCAGTTCTGATACAGCTCCCCCATTTTCCCCCACTTGTGAACAGTTGAGAATTTTTGTGACAATAAGCTGTTGGGTATGTACTGTATTTATCGGATATGTGAAATAGAAGAGTTAAGAACTAGTAAACTAGAAACTATTTTGAAGTAAGTTGTAAAACTTTCAGTATTCTGAATGGAGAATGCCAATTACATGTTTTTTACTCCTGAAGAGTAAGTAACTTTGGTTACTTTATATTAATTAGAAAAAATACAGTGGAAAATTTCACTTTAGCAGTGAAAATGCTTAACATGTTCAAATTTTTGTTCACTGATATTTTATTGAATGGGTAAACCAATGTTTACACTGCATATGATAAATGTTTTGCTTTCTTTGATCAAATTTACATTCAAAGAACTATTACAAGAAACATTCTATAAAAATTCCAATATATTGTTAAAGGGGATTTTGATTGTTATTTAAATCACATGCAGATCTGTTGCTTATCTTTGTCACGTAAATTATAAACATATTTTCTGGGTATTGCTTGTCTTAAGCATCTGGCTGAATAATTGCCTGTCACAATATTTAAATGCAAGACTAAGTCTTCCTTTACCTGTGCACCCCACCCCCATGTAATGGGAGAATAGAACATAAATGTCATTTGTGTATTTAGTTGATTAAATGTCACTCGTTTGTGATTGTACAACTGCTCTATACAATGTAATGGTCACTGTAGTAAAGTAACAATACATTTTTAGTGGCATTATCAGTGTTGGTAAAATAAACTCACCATCATATTAACTAAAGCTGTGCAAACAGATTTACTTGTCTTGTGTATGTTCAGATAACTGCATAAAAATGACTTTGTGTTTGGTCACAGTAAGACCTAAAGCGCATTAAGGCAGAAAAATGAAATCATTAAAAAAAGAAATAAAGAACCAGAACCAAGTAACCTTTGGTTTGGGACCCTTAAGAAGTCAAGGAAATTGTTAGTCTTTGAATATATTTTATCATTTCATTTATCCTCAGTATTTCCTGATAAGTTGTGATTTCACTGATGTCTCCTGAGAAATAAAATGTTTTCCCAAGACATCTGTGCTACACTTTAAGTTCTTCCTTAGATGTTTGCATATGGGAGAATTAAGAATTTGGGAAATAATTTTCATAATCTTTAGTCCATCATTTCAAAGATATTTTGACTCCAAATTACCAGAAGTGTCTTTGAGATGATAAGCTTAGATTATTATTCAGCTTTTCTTTCCTTGTATTTCCTTTCCTTCTTTAGTTGTTGCTCAGTACTATTTCCAAAGAGGTGACCATGAGAAGAATTTCTGTTTTGGTAGTAATTACCAGAAGCCCTAGTGACTTTTTTTTCTCCAGCCATTGTGATGGTAGGGGAGTGTCTAATTGAATACAGGATAAGTAATCTTGTTAGGATTTAGAGTTCTTTTAAGGGTTTGACTGAATTTTAAAGCTTCTAAAAATATAATACTGAAGTTTTCAAATCATTTCTGGTAATACCAGTTTTTCATATAATACTTTATAGTTTTAAAAGTATGTTTACTCTGTTATCTCATATTATTTTCACATATAGTTCCCTGTAATGGGCAGATTATGTATTATTCTCATTTTAAAGAGCAGGAGCTAGAGCTTAAAGAATTCAGGCAACCTGTTTATAAGTAGCAGAAGCAGTATTAAACAGCAAGACTTTTCTTAAGCCAGTGCTCTTTCCATTAGGCTTCAAGTACTTATAAATTTTGGGTTAGCCTCTTTTGAGTGGGTTGGTAGGGAATCTGACATTATTTTGAGAGAACAGAGGAAAGCCTATTTGGAACCCCTTCTTTCAGTCCTTAAAGACAAGTCTTATTCTGTTATATCACTTAGGGCTGAATTTATAATGGGGGGAAGGTTCTTAGAGGAGAACAGCTGTGCATGCCTGGGAGTTGGGCAGAAAGAAGCCATACTTGTACACTTGTACACTCAGGGATAACTTGGGGTGTTTGGGCTTTATCCTTTTAGGATTATTAAATTATATGTCTCTAAGGATGGTCAATTTACATTTGGCAAGATAGTCCAAATGGGAGGAAATAATGGCAGATCCACTGATGTCATTGGTTCTGTCACCCATGAGAAGGAAAGTTCCTACTCTCTCTGAGGTTCCTTTTGTCATCTCGTAGACAGCGACATAGAAAGTCAGTTCAGTTAATAGGAACCTGTAGTTGATTCTTCATATCCACTGATTTTGCCTGTAGTTACATAAATACTTAACATGCCCTGATTTTCTGTCTGCCCTCCTCATTGAGATTTTGTAAGAATAGGTATATGGTGTTTGTTTCTAGTACGAACCCTTGGCATGTTTTGTTTCTAATATATTAACATCTTGCTAACATAGGATCGACTCAGTCAGCATTGACACCCTTACCTTCACTTTGGAGTTTACTAATTGGAAGACACTTCCGCCAGCTGTTGAAAGGATGCTCTCTGCTCGTGCCTCAAACGCTTGGATTCTACAGCAACATATTGGTAAGAAAGAATAACTTTTAAACACACTTCACTTCTTTTCCTTCTCTTGCTTCTCTAGCTGTGTTGTAATTATAAGTGAAAAGATTCATTGGCAAACACAAATTAGACATAATTTTGCATTTTTTCTCATGTGAGGAAAAGATGGCATTGTTAGGGAGATGGCTACTAATTCCCTTCAGTAAAAATCATACCTGATTTTATAAGCTTAACCTAAGAAACATACAAAAAAACGCAGATGCTTACTGATATTTTAATTTTATGATATCCTTTTATTTTTAATAAGGATTATATACACAAAAGTAGGTCCAAAAAATCTGCTTATTCTGTATTTAGTTTCTGGTCAGAAAAAATGCTAAACTTAATTTTTCTCTTTGGAATGTCTGTGGAGTTATGTTCTCTGTGTAATATTTTATCGTATCTAAAAGGAAATGTAACCATTCTTTACACCTGTCCTTACTGAATGTATACCAGTCTGTTGGTATGGTATAACTATAGAGATAAGCTGAGTGAACATTCTGTGAATTGGTTGATATTTTAAAAGACTATTCTAGAACAAAATTTCAACTTACCTCACTTAAAAAAATTTTTAAACTAGTTGAAAAAATGAAAGAACACACAGTGGGGGAAGATTTCGCACAAGGAACAAGTTTAAACATAACATATGCAAAGTATCCCTATTTACTTTTTCAGATTTATTTTGCTTTGACTGTATTTTGTTAACCATGTTATATGTCTTAAGTTAGGAAAATTGTTTCTTCACTGCTATTTTTACATGAAATGTAACTCTTCATAAAACGTTTTGAATAGGTTTTTAACAAGTGAACTTATTCATATGGAGGAATGTGTCTTCTAATTTTTTGGAAAATTACATTTAAGTAAATTTTCTCAATCAAAAACAGACATTCAGGAAGATATGCCTTTGAACTGAGGTGTATTCAAACTGTTAGAGAGGTTTCTGTTAAAGAAAAATAATTCATTTGGAGTCTTTGAGCCTTCTAGTATAGAATTTCTTTAATGATAATGCTGGAAAATTCACTCCGTGTAACTCTCAATGTTGAGAATTGCGTCTGCTTTTACTAATTATGTATCTACAGCAGTAGAGAACAAATATCTATTCAGAACAGATAGACTATGGAACAATGGATTTGAGAACAAAGAGTCAAAAGAGGGAGCATATGCCAAATGGGAAAAGTATTGCTACGTATCAATTAGTAAGGATATGTGGGAGTTTACCCTGAAGACCTTAACATATGGCATGTTTGTCCAGATGAAGGTAAAAATTGTGCATGAGTACTACATTACCCTGCAGTAGACTAAATCCATCAAGGGCTTCTTGTTTAATTAAGTACTAGGTAGAGCTTGTGTAGGGTAATAATCATCATCTATTGAGAGATTTTTATTTCAGCTGAAGATTCAAAAAAGCCTTTCTCAGAGGCTTTTTCTTAGCTAATGTAGCTAATGGTTTTCTGGTTTGTTTCTTTAGCCAAGCCCTCTTTTCTTGTTTCCAGTCTCATATATCCAACTATCTTTTGGACATTTCCATTTGCTGTCTCACATCTTGACATATCCAAAATTGAACTTATTATTTTTACTACAAATTCTTCTGTTCTGTCTCTCTTTCCTGGTTCAGGAGGTGAGGTGGTTTGGGAGTGTTATTTACCAAGAGAGTGAGTTAACACTGGAAGCTGTTTGTTATTTTATCCGTAGCATAGGGGTGATTTTTGCCCCCCTATAGACATTTGGTAATGTCTGCAGACTTTTTTTTGGTTGTCACAATGGTTAGGGATGCTGTTGCCATCTAAGGGGTAGAGGCCAGGGATCCTGCTAAGCATCCTACAGTGCACAAGGCAGCCTCCTACAATAAAGAATTATCTGGCTACAAATGTCAGTAGCACCGAGGTTGAGAAATCCGGATCCACAGTGATTCTTGTGTTGTCCTATCATGGAAAGGCTTTTTATCCCTCTCCTTGTTACAACCTACTTGGGGAAAGCTTGTATTCTTCCTCCTACTTATATTGGTGTCTCAGGGTATTCTTTGGTGCTTCCTCTTCTGCAGATAGTAGGCACCATTACAATGCTGGAATTTTAGTAAGACAGAGAAAAACTTAGTTGCCTGGCTTTCAGATGGCATTGTGACTCTTCCTTTCTATAATTCAGGGCTCTCTTGGGGGCACCCTTTTCTCATCAATTTTCAGGATAATAAATTTCTGCATGTTGGTCATCAGGACTCCCTCCTTTACTGGGATTTTGAGCTACAGGATCTCTAGTAAGCAGAAGCATGATCAGGGTTTTAACACTAATGGGCACGAGCCTAGCAGGACAACTGTTTGATTAACCTCTTTACAAGACTAACCTTGCTTTTACCCCTCTTCCTCCAATAACTTATCATGATATTAACAACTGCTGCCTTATCAACATGTTAAAATTTTTTTTTTTGAAAAGATACCTCTTGCACCTCTGCCACTGTTAGTAAACTCTTAGATAATTCCTAGCTTCCTAGCTCCACTCAGTATTCAATTTCTATCCCTTGGGAAAGATTTTTCTTCCATTTTTTATTTAAGCCCTTTTCAAGTCCTATAGATGCCATGTACTTGGTCAAAATTATTCTTTCCTCCCCTTTTTTCTCCCTAAGTAAGTAGCAACTTGCCATGGTAGTTTATAAACAAAAGTAACAACACATTTCTTGCTTCTCATATTTTAATCATTGAGTCAGATTTGTCTTCAAAAAGTTTCTTGCATCCAAAAGGAAATGTATACCAGGTAAAATTTACTGAGTGGTTGCAGTTTCAGTAACCGTCTTTTAATCAAGTGCCTCTTACATACCTCTTAGAAACATCAGGCTAACCACGTAGCAATAGATGTCTTACTCAAAAAATTTGCCAACTCCTGGTCAGGTCTAAGTAATTAAATTATTACGGATAAAAGCACATGGCTTTAGTTCGTCCTGAACCTTTAATGATTAGATATATATAATTCTCTCCAGAGTGTTAAATGGATCTGGATCCTACAAAGGGTCCTTTAAAGGACCCCAGGAAACTCTCTTGATCTTTTTATTTCAGTATTTCCTTGCTTTGTTCTGAAAAGGATTTAAAGCAGTTTATGTAATACATATATATTATCACAAAACAGTAAAACAAAAGTAGAAGGAAAAGAAAAATGAAAAAAAAAAAGGTGGGGGGTAGATTTAAAAAATGGAGTCAGGGAAAGCGTAGCAATGGGAATTTGATACTTGTCTATGGATAGGCTGTATGTTTGACTCTGAGCTCTGTTGTCATTGACACTAGGTGACAGGGTTCATAAGATCAAATAAACCTGTTCCTCAGAATAGATTTTCTTGGATGCTGTTACAGCTTCCTAGACAATGTCTTGGTAGCTGTGGTTTCTTGGGACTTCTTTTACGTGGACTGTTGTTTTCATACCAAAGTGCAATTCAGTAAAAGCAGTTCTTAAGTAGTCATTACAGTGTGGTTCAGGGACCCCGACTTCCGTTGCTGTGACTTGACGAAGAGCTAGATTTTAGAATATCTGGGAATGGATGGCCTGTGTGCCTTTTGAGCAGTTCTCTCTAAATATTGTATGTCTCAACTCAGTTTTTAATTTAATAAATAAATAAATTAATTAATTTGTGGGGGCAAGGTCTTGCTCTGTTGCCTAGGCTAGAGTGCAGTGGCACGATCATGGCTCACTGCAGCCTCTACCTCCTGGGCTCAAGCAGTCTTCCCACCTCAGCCTCTTGAGTAGCTGGGATCACAGGCATGTGCCACCACGCCCAGCTAATTTTTGTATTTTTTATTGAGGCAGGGTTTCGCCATGTTTCCTGGGCTTCTCTTGAACTTCTCCTGGGCTCAAATGATCCTTCTGCTTCAGCCTCCCAAAGTGCCGGTATTATAGGCACGAGACACTGTGCCTAGCTTCAGCTTAGTTTTTAATAGTAGTACATAGCAATGAGTTCAAAGTTATGCTACCTAAGAAGTATGAGAATGCAGATATTTTGTATTGCAAATTGGATTGAGAACATATTTTTAAGTAACAGTTGATCTTAAAAGTAGAAGCAAAAGAAAAATGAATAATGAAGGTTGATCTGTGGTAGGGTGAGTACTCCAGGAACATTATAAGGATTCCTAACTAAATATGGTAGGTTAAGCAAGTATCCAGTTTAAGCAAAAATTTCCCTTGAAACTTTGAGCAATGCCTCTAGTTTTGAGCAATGTTCTTTTCTCACATAGCCTTCAAGATAAATAATCTGTGGTAAGTACACCAAGGTAACTACATACGATAATTTATTTTATGTGATTGTTAGATGCAGAAACAAAGCTTAGGGTTAGGAATAGTTGGTCTGTAATCCTTTCTGGTAACAATGAGCTAGCATTCCAGTTGTCTGCTAAAACCATTTCTAGTTTAGGATAATAAAACATTAGTTTTTAAAAGAATATTTGTTTTTCTGTTTTCTTTAGCAAGAACATGTATCTTGCTCAGTTTATAACACATCATTAAGTTACTTGTTAAAAAGATGAGAGTTGGAGCACAACCTTATTTTATGCCAAAGAAAAATTTTAACTTTTCTGCTGACTTCAACCCTATGGTAATGATCTGGTGCAGGTTCTGCATGAACAGCAGACAGAATATAATGGTTGAAGGTTGGAGCTCTAGAATTAAATAGACATGCCTCCACCACTTTCTCTCTTTTTTTTCCTTTGACTACCCAAATTTATTCATTTTAAACTTGACATGATTTATCTTTTTTAACTCTTAATATAGCACTAGAACCTCTTTAAAATTTCATGGAAAGAAAGGATTTATGACATATGTTTAAAATTTATTGGCTAAAATTTAAAAAAATTTTTTTGATCAATTTATTTCAGGCCATTGTAATCTGGTTTATATGGTCCTGGAGGAATAATCATGTACCGCAAATCCTTTTTTTTTTTTTTTTTTAATTATACTTTAAGTTCTGGGATACATGTGCAGAACATCATGGTTTGTTACATAGGTATACACGT